CCCCAAAACCCCAAAACCCCAAAACCCCAAAACCCCTAAAAGTTAAATATTGATTTTAGTAAATATGAGTAAGGTTTTATGAAATTAAGATTTGAATGGTTAATCTGATATTATTATATCAAAGACTGAGGAAAGATCTTGCTACATTTTCTGTTTGATCTTCATCTCTAGATTTTGGTTGAACATCAAGAGACATATTGATAATTGAATATCTTTAATCTCCATTTGGATCTACTCCTTTAAAGCCTTGGGTGCTTGATACTTTTTTGAAGTTGACTCTATAAATACTAGGATCAGTTTCATAAGTTTCTCCCCAAGTTGTGGTATCTGTTGAGTCAATAAGGCTTGTGCCGATGACAACAAATTCCATATAGTTGTCTCTTCCACTTTGTCTATCAGGACTACTGAAGACATCTGTAGTAGTCAAAGATCTTCCACTCTCTCTCACTCTGCTTTTAAATGAAGCAGCACTAATCTTGATACTTCCATCTTGTGAGAATACTATTTAGTCTCCTTGTGTAAGGTAACTCCAATATACATTTTAGATAGAAAATTAGCTTGAGGATCCTTTTTTCGAGGATCTGAGATCGAACAAAGATATTCCATACTCACCAATCACATTTATTGTTGTTTGGTTTTGTTAATCAATCAATAAGATTGCTGTTGTTTCATCGCATCCAAAAGCAAAGTCTAAATTTCTTAATGAAGCTAATCGAATTGCCCTGCCTTATCTCCCTCTTTAACTAAAATGGGTATCGAGAAGGCCTGTCTAAAAGATGTCCAGACCACCTTATGGATCATATTGCAAGTCATCTTGGCAGTCAGAAGTTGTGCAAATATAATCAAGTGGTTTGTCTACGAGTGATTAAAAGCTTTGACCTCCAGCAATCATTGGGACATCTTGCTTTTTAGAGGGTCCTCCCATTACAGCAGTGCCAGCACTCGATCCACTTAGAGTAACTTAGCCTGAATTAACTCTCTATCTTATTATTTTCATTTCATCAGTATCACTACCGCTTGAAGTAATGAAAGACTCTTTATGCTTGGCTTAGTCCCCTCCGCAAAAGAATATTCCAGTGATTCTATTGAGGTCATCCATTAATGATCGAGAGTCTTTACATTTTTGAATTTAGTAATTTGTCAGATCTGGATATCTTCTCTTTGTATCATATTCTCCATATTCAGATGCCACGTAATTTTGAATATTATCGCAGTCATTGTTTTATCTTGCTTTCCTAAGCGCTAAATCTATTGGAATCCAGACGACTTCCTTGGGTCCTGCTAATTTAAACGCATTTTTGTAGAAGATATAGGTGTCCATATAATCTTAGGAGGATGCTGAGACAATCCCTATCACTGCATTAGATCCTCCTGAGAGATCTACAAATTTATCAAAAAGATTTTAGGTATAAACTGGAGAGTTCTTGTATGATACAATTTCAGATTAGGTAATAGAAAGGAAATTCAAAGTTGCTTCCCAATTGTCATCAGATAGATCATCAATAAAGTGAGAATCTATTTTAGCTATCTGAGTCTTAAAATCATCAACAGAGTACTTTTTGCTTTTATCAAGTCTTTGGAGATCAGAGATAGCCCAGGAAGGATAATCTTTTTTAGCTTTCAAATTCTATATAGATAAATCAGTAAGCTGTAGCATTTCTTGGTATTTTATTTAAACGTTTGAGGGATAGCCTTAATCCTAAGCAAGTTTCTGCCAATCAATTTTAGAATCACAATTAGTTGGTTAGAGAGATGAACAGAGATTGGTTGCTCCTCCAATCAGCAATAGTTTCTTTTGAGCATAAGCGAAGTCACTTGAATTCAATAGTAATAGCCCGATTGAGAGGATATTTAGGTAAGAGCGGTTTATACTCATGAGTGTGAAATGTTTTATAATAATTAATTATCAATAATGAAGAGAATCTTATTAGTATCTACATTTGTTTCCTTAATAAACTATTCAAATTCCTCAGCGACAACTTTATAAGAATTCCTGGGAAAGTTCTTTAAAAAGTCCAAAGTATAGGCATCTGCTTCACACACCTTACAAGGAAGCAGATTCGCCAATTTTGCTGATAAAACATCTACTACAGTGATTGGCATTATCTCTTAGACTCTTTAAATATAAAATCTGATTAATGACACTAGATTCACTGGATATCACTCATACATAATGAAGAGCTATGTAGATTTTGTTGAACATTAATGAAAACCATATCTTAGAACCTCAAAATGAGACATTAGCTAAATTAGCTAAAGTAAACGGAGTCTTATTCCCAGGTGGAGATGGGGATTATTTGGAATATGGTAGATTCATATTTCAGACACTCAAAGAATATATTGATAATGGTACTTATTATCCTGTATGGGGAACTTTTATGGGCTATGAGTATATAGTTAGCTATATTTCAGAATATATCTATTGAAGGTTTTGGATGTGTTTGATTATGATACAGGATCAATGAGTTTGGAATTTGTCTAAGACCCTAGACATACCAAAATGTTTAATTGGCTTGGCGAGGAAGCTTTTCTATTCGAAAATTACAACATGACATATAATGCTCATCACTAGGGAATGAATCCAGAGAAATTCAAATCTGATAAAGGGCTTTCTGAGATTTTCCATCATACAGCAATTAGTTATATGCCTGATGGAAGACCTTTCGTAGCATCAGTGGAGAGTGACAAATATCCTTTCTTTGGAACATAATTCCACCCTGAAAAGGCAGCTAGAGTTTATAGAGAAGATCTTTACATTGATCACTCTTGGCTATCTATCAATTTGAACAAACACTTTGCTGAGTACTTTGTTTACTAAACCAGATAAAATCCAAATAACTATGGAACCTATTCTGAAACTCAAAGAGATATCATCTAAAATTACGACTTAATAGTCTCTGATTAATGGTTCGACACTGTTTATGTGTTCAAACAATTCTGAGACGGTATTGAATAGAATAGAATCACATATTTGTGATTTGATTGATCTTAATCTTAATTTCATTATCAAAAAATTTGCTCTCAATTTATTATCTAGGGGTTTTGGGGTTTTGGGGTTTTGGGG